AAGAAGGAAGCCGCTTCTACGAGTCCGCAGATGTGAGGCTGAGGCATAGATGCGGAAGAGAGGATTTTGGGCTATTTCCGCAGAAGTGGAGTGATGAGAGCGGCCAGTGTTTTAAGTGAGTTTCCGCAAAAGCGGCTCCGGAGGTGCGGATACGGACCGCAGGTGCGGTTTTGCTGGACAGAAAGTATAAATAGAGGACTTTAGGATTTTTCCCCATTTTCACATTCTTGAACTCGAACTTCGGGGGATTTTGAGGAGATTTTCGATGGGAATTCGAGGTTATCACTAAGGTAAGTCCTTGAGCCTATATATCTTTGGCAATGATGTTTTTCCATGTATTTTTACACCTATTGGGTGAGTTTTTGAGGTGAAATTTGGGAGTTAGGGCTTGAGAATTGGAGTGTGAACTTTGGGGTTTTGGAGGGGTAGTTGAGATCGGATTTTGATAAATTTGGTATGGTTAGACTCGTGAGTGAATGTGCTTTCGGGTTTTGTGACTTTTGTCGGATTTCAAGACGTGGGCCCGGGGGCCAGGTTTGAGCCAATTTCGGATTTTTGAGTCTAATTTAGTAGTTTTCATGTGGAATTGATTCCTTTAGCATATATTAATGGTATTGAAGTGTTTGTTGCTAGATTCGGGATGTTCGTAGGCCGATTCGAGAGCCAAGGGCATTGCGGAGTAGAGATTTGCTCGGATTGAGATAAGTAACGGTTGTAAATCTGGTCCTGAGGGTATGAAACCCCGGATTTGGTGTCATTTAATTATTTTGGAGGTGACACACATGCTAGGTGACGGGCGTGTGGGCGTGCACCGAGGAGATTGTGACTTGGTTCGTCCCGTAGAAACTGTGAAGTTGCACAACTTGTTGTTACCTATATGCCCCTATGTGTTATAGAAAATTGACTGCGAATCACGCTAGATATCATGTTTAGGATTTATGCCGGTATCATTGGGACCCTTAGTGGTCGTTTCTTGCTGTCATCTCACTATCTTCATTGATTTTCCGTACTCAGTCATGTTTATGCATTTTCATATCAAATCTCAGTCTCTGTTATTCTATTCGATGTATCATGCTATTGTTGTTTGGGCTGATTTCCTGATTTCTGAGAGCCCGAGAGACTAGAGAGATTGATGACTGAGTGAGGCCGAGTGCCTGATGGTGAGGATATTATGGGATCGGGTTGCACGCCGCAGTATGTTTTATTGATTTACGCCATGATTGGCTTTTTATAGCGCTTGGGCTGAAGGAGCCCCTCCGGAGTCTGTACACACCCCCAGTGAGCGCATGTACGTACTGAGTGCCGAGTGCCGAGTGCTTAGCGATTGTGAGGAATGAGTGACTGTGAGGTTGGAGTGATTGGGAGGACTGAGTGATGTTTTCCCGAGAGTCAGTATATGATTTCATTATTTGATGTACACAGTTGCCTTACATCCTTGTTTGAGAACTGTTGGAAGATATTTTATCTGGCTTTACTTGAACTTGGCTTAAACAAAATGATTTGACTTAAACTCTTGACTGAACGCATGCCTACTCTTTACTGAATTTTTACGAAATGAACTGTATTTGCATGGGTCATCACTACTTCTCAGTTCCTTATTTATTTCTGTTACTTACTGAGTTGGTGTACTCACGTTACTCCTTGCGCCTCGTGTGCAGATCCAGGAGTAGTTGGCCGCGGAAAGTGCTGATAGTCCTCATAGCTGGTTACTGGAGATAGCGAGGTAGCTGCCCGGCGTTCGCAGCCTTGCTTTCTTCTTTTTTATCTTTCCTTTAGTTCTATTTTGGATTTCAAACTATTTTAGTCTTGTTATTTTCAGACCAGAAATGTTTAGATGCTCATGACTTAGTGACACCCCTATGTATGGGGCTATCGTTCCACATTTCTATGTTGAGCTTACTCTTATTTCTTTTTATGAAAATCCTGTCACAAAAAGTTATTTGGCTTATCCTTTAATGAATTATTGAATTATTTCGAAAGTCACCTGGCCTAGTACCATCGATAGGCGCCATGACGACATGTTATAGTTTGGGTTGTGACAATAACAACCAAATTTGAAAAGCTACCATCTAAGCATTTTTAGGAACTTAAAACATGGCATACATTCCAACCATATATCAGTTCATGTGAAATAAACATGCGTCATCATGTTCTAGATATAACAAAATAAGGATTAAAAAAAACCTAGCGAGGAGAGAGAAGCTCTGGCGATTAGTTTGGTGACTCAAAGGCGATTTCACGTCTGAGCGTTGCCATAGCCAATCTGGCCGGCGGCCAGCCTTCTTCTCCGGCTGGTCAGCCTCCTCCCACCATCGCCCAACCTCCCATTACAACAAACAACAATCTCTATCCTTTGGATTATTCAAAATTGCTAGAACCTACAACTATCAAGGTTGCCATGCACGAACAAACGTTAGAAGTAGAGCCAATTCCCCTTCGTAGAGCTGCGTTATTGAATGCTGAACCAGTCATCAAATTTATAGAAGCAGAAGTGGACATGATGAACGTGATAGAAGGCCTTCAGTATGCTGTCGTTGGCAAGCTATCTTATGGCTGGCCAGAACTGCAGCAGCTACGTCGCATGATCCCTGGGCAATGTGGTATCAAAGGAGAGTGTAATATTGGAGTCCTAAGGGATAGGCATATGTTAATAAGAATGACATTATGGGAAGATTTTATAAGTTTCACGTCGAAGAATTCCCATTACATTAAGGACAAGGAAGGATGTGAGTATCAGTTGAGACCTTTGACTTATGATGCGAAATTTAAAGTTGGTGAAGAAACTCGAAAAGCTATGGCGTGGATATCATTCCCAAGTCTGCTACCCACATATTTTGTGAAGGAGTGTTTATTTTCACTAGCTTCAGCAATGGGGAAGCCTTTCCACTTAGATATGGTTACTATTAATAAAACTAGATCTAGCTGTGCGAGGGTGAAAGTGCTAGTTGATCTGCTCGCTGATTTGCCAAAAAATGTTAGAATGGATATTGAGAATGAATCAACGGGTGAGATAAGAACAGAATGGGTAAAGATCCAATATGATATGCTGCCTAAATATTGCAAGAATTGTAAGTTATAGGGGCATGATGAGTTTGAATGCTGGAGATTACATCTATAATTGTATGTGGAAAAAGACAATACAAAACAACCTGTAAGGGAAGCTGATCAGAACAATTCTAACCAACAACCCTCGATGGTTCTCTCTAGTGATAAGGTGGTGGGCAATGTAATTGTACATTCAAAGGAGCAGTGGAAAGAAGTGAGGGACAATCGTGTACATGGTAAGGAGAAGCAGGTAGCTGCTTTGGCTAACACTGGACAGGAAATTGTGACTGTTGAAAAGCAGGCTTCTGTGGAGGCTTAACAGGTGCAAACAACTAATAAGTTTGCAATTTTGGAGGTGGAGAATAGTGATGTTAATGAGAATAATTAGAGAGTGTTGGTGGAGGACAATTCTGCGCAAAGAAGGACTTCTAATCAGCACCTGTTTTTAATCCCAGATCTCCTGGTGGTGACAATGCAAGGAAAAGGAACAATGTGAATCCAACTGGAACTGAAAAAAGACTCAACTCTGTCGCTCCAATTGCTAGTCCTAATTCAACAGGGGTAGTTGCACAAAACGAATGTGAAGAATCAAGGCCTAAGGGGAGAAACATAAATGAACAACCAAGAAAGGAGACCACAACACAATGGGTACAAAGAACATTCAATGGCAATGTGGTTGCAACTAACACATCATGTCAAGATATTCCATCACAGGACACTAGAGTAGAAGGACAACTAGTGAAGAATACTGAAAAAGAGCTCACTATTGATGCAAAATTTGAGAAATTTAGGAGCAATGAGAGGATAAAATGGAGTAGAAGAAGGCTATGGGCTGATCAAACTGAAGAGGACTTAGAGGAAGGTGAAATTCCAGATGAGATGCAAAGTGATGAGGAAACTGGTGGTGATGAAATAGAAGAGGAGGAGAAAAGTGGAAGTGGTAATGCCAATGTTTCAAGGAGCACTAAAGATCAGAATTTATTCAATAAAGAGATTGACCCCAAAGAGCAGGAAACCATCAATGTGGATCAGAACATCACTACTGGAAAAAATGCTGAAGCTGTGATTGATAAAGGTGTTGATATTAATGCTGTAGATCCAGGAGGGACTGGAGAGGATGTAACATTTGATATTATTGCCAATTCTAATTCAAAAGATAGGGAAAAAGTAGCAAAAGAGTAGATGACTAAACCTATAGCTCAGGATGCAGCTGGAATCACTATTCATTGAAGCTCACATAGCTGCAGAATAAGAAAAATCATGGTGAGCAGGCTGTGATCTCCATTCCAAAGAATTCCAATATTATGGCTTCATTGGGTGATAAAGAAGTAGCATTTCATTCAGAACATGCAGCTAAGGATATGGATGATGAGTCGACTGCCTAGAATTTCATCAATATAGCTAAGCATGGTGATCTTTCTCCAAGGCACATTGATCTAGTTAAATCAGCTGCCAAAGGAAGAAATAAGCAAGTAAAGGAGACCTCCACTGCCCCAACAGGTGGAGTATAAACGAGAAGAACACCTACTAATTCCCAGAATCGGTAATGGATGCAATAATTTGGAATGTGAGATCAATTAATACGATCCAAGCTTTTGAGAGGCTGATCACAATGCATAGACGTCACCGTTTTGAATTTATTGGGATTCTTGAACCTATGCAACAGTCCAGTAAGATAGAGAGATATAGAATGAGAATAGGATTGGCACATGCAGTGGGTGAATGTGTCAAACAAAATATGGGCTTTCATTGATGAAGCATTTGAGGTTACAATTCTATATAATACGGTTCAACAATTGACTTTGAAGCTAGACATAACTGAAACTCATGTTGAACTCATACTCACATTGGTGCATGCCAAATGTAATGCTATTGAGAGGATAGAGTTGTGGGATTCTTTGTATGCAATGGCTACTGATATGTTTGTCCCATAGCTTGTGGGAGGTGATTTTAATATGATTTTGGATGAGGAAGAGAAGTTTGGTGGGCTGCCAGTGTCTCTGGATGAAGTTGATAATTTTAGACACTGCATCAACACTTGCAACTTATCAAATCTAGGCTTTAAGGGGAGTATTTTTACCAGGTGGAATGGAAGATCAGAGGAGGATTGCATATTCAAAAGGCTTGATCATTGCTTACGAAATATGGAACTGCAGCAAACTTTCCCAGGTTTGGAGGTTACACATCTATCCAAAATAGGATCTGATCATAGACCTATGCTATTGAAGTGTGACATTAAAGATGCTCCTATCAAGAAATCTTTCAGGTTTCTAAATTTTTGGATTAAGCATGATACTTTTAAGGTTGTGGTGAGGGAGATCTGGAGTGCTGATTTTAGTGCTAATCCTTTTATCCTCTTCAATCACAAATTAAAGAAGTTAAAGAAAGCATTGTCTACTTGGAGTAGAGCAACATATGGAGACATTTTTCAGAAGATTTCAAGCCTGGAGGAAGTTGTCTTAGTATATGAAAGGCAATTTGAAGCATATCCAACTAGGATGAATAGAGCAAGGCTGCATAAGGTTCAAGCTGAAATTATCAGATACCTTGCACTTGAGGAGGAGTTCTGGAAACAAAAATATGGGATGACATGATTTAAGGATGGTGACAGGAACACAAAGTTCTTTCATGCTCAAGTCAATGGTCGAAGAAAAATATTGCAGCTCAAGAGGATTCAAAATATCAGTGGCAACTGGATTGATGAGGAAGAACAAATTGCAGCAGAAGCAGTCAACTATTTCAAAGATCAATTTTGTGAAAATGTAGCCCTTTCTGCATTTTACATTATTGATAATGTGCCTTATTTGGTTAATATCGAGCAGAATGAAAAGCTAATCAGCATGCCTACAAGAGAAGAGGTTAAACTTGTAGTGTGAGGATTGAATGGGGAATCAGTAGGAGGGGCAGATGGTTTTACAGGTGCTTTCTACCATTCATGTTGGGAGATTATTGGAGAGGACATATATGCAATGGTTTTGGCATTCTTTAGTGGCCAACAACTTCCCAAATGTGTGACACACACAAATCTGGTCCTACTGCCAAAGAAGAAGGAGGTTACTACATTTTCTGATTTCAGGCCCATAAGCCTCAGTAACTTCATCAACAAAATTTTTCAAGAATAATTCATGAAAGATTGGTGGTGTTGCTTCCTAACTTGATATCAGATGAACAAGCTAGGTTTGTAAAAGGTAGAAGCATAGTTGAGAATGTTCTATTAATACAAGAGATTATCACAGACATTAGGCTTAGAACTAAAGCTGGTCCTAATGTTGTGATTAAGCTTGACATGACAAAAGCATATGATAGGTTGTCATGGCTGTTCCTGACCAAGATGCCAAGGAAGTTTGGGTTTGGTGAGAGATTTATTGTCTTGGTGTTTAATATAGTGGGAGACAACTGGTATTCAGTGCTCGTCAATGGACAACTTCATGGTTTTTTCAAATCATCGAGGTGTCTCAAGCAAGGTGATCCACTCTCACCTACTTTGTTCATACTAGCTGCTGAAGCTCTTTCAAGAGGCTTGAATGCCCTGCATCTGAATCTGTATTTTTGTGGCTTCGGTTTGCCAAAATGGAGCCCAAAAATAAACCACCTTACATATGCAGACGACACAATTATTTTTTCATCTTCTGATGCAACTTCCTTAAGGCTGGTGATGGAAGTAATATATCTTTATGAGACTGCATTTGGGCAGCTGGTGAACAAAGGCAAATCTGCCATCTATATGCATCACTCGACTGATTTGGAAGTGGTTAGGAAAGTAGAGAGAATCACTGGTATTAGAAAGCAAGAATTCCCCTTTACTTACTTAGGATGTACCGTATTTTATGCAAGGAGTAAGATGGAATACTACCAAGGCTTGATCACAAAGGTGCTGGACAAACTGTAGAATTGGAAAGGTAAAATTCTTTCGATAGGAGGCAGGGCAGTGTTGATTGCTAATGTTCTGCAGAGTATGCCAATACACTTGCTTTCTGATGTAAATCCTCCCAGTAATGTTATAAATAAACTCCACTAATTTTTTGCTAAATTCTTTTGGAGCAGCTCTGTGGGAGGTAACAGTAGGCATTGGGCTTCATGGAACACCAAGTCTTTGGAGCTGTTTTATGAGTCAAAAGTCCTGCAAGAAGCTCAATGCAGTAGTAGTTCCATGGAGGAGAAATAGATCACACGTGTGGAGGAAAATGTTGGAATGTAGAGATTTAATCGAGCATCAGATCACTTGGCAGCCTAATTTGGGATCCTCATTGTTTTGGTATGACAACTGGACTGGATTAGGAGCCTTATATTTTCTTGTTCCTCCAGAATTTGGGATAGATGAAGGCATTCACAATGTATACGATGTGGTGGAAAATGGTTCTTGGAATGTAGATAGACTATTGGAGGCTCTACTTGAAGAATATGCAATGCACATTTTGGAGAAGATCAGACCTCTAATAAAGAATAATGTACTAGATACTCCCTACTGGATGCTTGAAACTAGAGGGAATTTCAGTGTCAAATCAGCTTAGGATTACCTACGAAGGAGGGACTATCCTAGAAGAGCTTACAAGATGATATAGGTGAAGGGACTGCCATTTAAAATAGCCTTCTTTATGTGCAAGGTGTGGAAAGCCAAACTACCTCTTGATGACTTCATGTGAATGCTGGGATACTTCATGCCATCGAGGTGTTGGTGCTGTGCTGATCCTAAGGAGGAAACTTTAGTACACCTATTTTTCACATCAAAGGCTGCTACTATAGTGTGGAGGTACTTCTTATTGAGAGCAGTAATGTATATGGAGGGACTGTCTTTGCACAAAACTATTACTAAGTGTTGGACTGCCCAGGTTTTGCCCAGAATAAAGCCAATAATGCATGCCTTACCTTCGTGTATTGTGTGGGAATTATGGAAGAGAAGGAATAGCCTAAAGTATGGGGAGGCATTCTCAGTTATCAGGGTAATTTACCAAGTCTCAACAACACTTCAAGCACTAGTTCAAGTAAGAAAACCAGGCTTGCAAGTGCCTCACAAGTGGCAGGATCTGTTGACAATGTTGGAGAAGTATACTCCAAGACTGAAATTTGAAAAAGTAATTTGGGAATTTCCATTGGTGGGATGGATCAAAGTGAGCACTGATGGAGCATCTAGAGGAAATCCTGGAAGAAGTGCAATTGGTTATTGTTTGAGAGATGAAGCTGGTGATGTAAGCTATGCTCTAGGAAGGGAGATTGCTGAAGGATCAAATAATGAAGCAGAGGCAGTAGCAATAGTGGAGGCGTTAAGGCTGTGTGGAACACTGAATTTCACACAGATCTAGTCACAAACTGATTCATTACTGCTGAAGAACATAATAAAGGGATCATGGAAATCACCTTGGGGTATTGTGGAACATGTGGAGGAGATCAAGATTCTGATGGAGGAGTGTAATGTCAGGGTGTCACACATATTTAGAGAGGGGAACAAGCTGGCTGATCACTTAGCAAATTATGCACTTGATATTGGCAATATTGAGTGTCATGATTTCTGGCACCTAGACTCACAAGGCAGGAGGATAGTGAATGAAGACAAGATGCAATGTCCATATTTAAGAGTAAAAGTTGCAAAGAATTAGGAGGTGAAGGAGGAAAAGTGGCAGAAGGAAAGGCTGGAGCTTACACATTCAGTTGCCATGCTCAAATCTTTATGGAGTAGAGCATGGTGATGATATTTTTCACTAACTTTGTTTTCTTTTTTGCAGGAAAAGTTACTGTCTCTATGCCCTATCCTTTGAGGAACTTCCAGTTGGTAGTATTAGTACTTAGTACTCATTCCACTGGGAGGGAATTGGAGGTAGGCATAAACATAGAAGCAAGGAAGAGCACTTTACAGTTCAAAATTCTAATGATATGCAGGTGCTTTTGGAAACAAATCTGGGAACAAAAGGAGTGTTTTGGGATGATATCCAAATTCATATCAACACCTCAAGGATTCAGGAAATGAGGCACATAAGTTTTCACTCAATCCAATAGTGGAAAACACATGCAAATTTTAACAAAATCTACTAGCTAAACTATGTACATGTCTGGTGCAGAGTTGAAACTAGTAAGAATGCGTGTGAAATTCTTACCTTGAGGATCATAAAACCAATGTCCTTAAGTAGATCAACAACATATACAGGGAGTCAGGCAAAAATCAAGGCTAAACACCTTGGTTCAGTGGGAGATTACACAGACAATCACCATGTTCAACTCCTTAGGGAGGTGATCATGGTGATGAAGTTTTACACTAACATGATTTTCTTTTTTTGCAGGAGATGTTACTGTATCTATGCCTTACTCTTTGAGTAACTTTCAGTTGGTGGTATTAGTACAATGTACTCTTTCCACTTGAGGGGAATTGAGGGTAAGCACAAGCATGGAACAAAGTCACACTTTGAGGGCACTATGGATAGTTGTTGCTGCAGGGACTTGGTATCACAAGTCTGTACTCTACATCAGTATTATAGTGCCCCAAGATCTAGTTTGAAGTCCAGTAGCCTTTTCCTCAAAGAGGCACACAAAATCGGATCTGCAACACTGGACTGCCCAGAAAATTTTGCAGGGCAACAAGGACAGGTACTGCAATTTGCTTAACAAAAATGGGATCAAGGGAGGTGCTGTGGGGTAAAACCCAAGTACAATGCTTACAAAAATGGGATCAAGGGAGGTGCTGTGGGGTAAAACCCAAGTGCAGTGCTTTAGTGCACTATCCCAGGAATGGTTTAACACAGAAAATTTTGCAGGGCAACAAGGATAGATACTGCAATTGCTTAACGCAAATAGGATCAAGGGAGGTGTTGTAGGGTAAAACCCAAGTACAATGCTTTAGTGCACTATCCCAGGAATGGTTTGACACAGAAACAACAGCAGCATATGCCTGGAGATCACACAACAACTTCATTATAACAGGCAAGTTAGCATAGGTGCCCAACTTCACATGGTCGAGGCAGTGCTTTTTAGTTGAGTTTTTGGAAAAATTAGGTATTGCCAAATGGAGGAGCTTAGCAATCTCATCAAGAAGGATATATAGGGAATACAGGCTGGGTGAAATTACATATTTTCAGACAAGGATCAAGCCCCAAAATGGATGTTAAAATGCACAACATCAGGTGCAAATGCTGATGGGTAGTGCTGGATGCAGCAAATAGACACTTTTTGACACTTACTTTTGCAACATCAAAGGAATGCAAATCTTATATGCAAAATAGTACTCTAACACATGATTTGAAGTTGGATTACACACATGGAGCTGTACATCCTGATGTACCACTTTGGCAAGCAAATGCGTGCAATTGTAAATAGTGGCTATGTCTGCAATATGTTAGTTTTTATACATGTTTTAGACGTTTTATTTCATATTTTTATTAGACCACTTTGTAATATCAGTTTTGGGTACGATAAGCCAAAAATTGATAATAGGTCCTATGTAGTTGACATCTCCTATGGTCTTACTCATCGTAAGACGATATGCTACTTTATTTTATTATTTTATTATATATATAAAAACTAGCCCTAGGCACTTTTCCTAGTGAATTTGCTAAAAAAAGATTTAACAAAATAAGACCGACATAAAAGGAATGACTTTTCATATCTAAATCACATTTTAATCCCGCAAACTGCCAAAAAAAACACCCATCTAAATGACCCTGAACTGCCGAAATACGACATAATTTACTAAATAGCAGTGAGTATTTCTTATCAGGTCATTTTCGGTGGACTTACCAAATTTCAAGTTAATTGGAGATGATGATCACCAAAACTAGACTAAATTCGGATTAATTGCTTTAGGCAAATTATGAGATTAATTCAATATGATTTATATTCTTTACATGTATCATATCAAGTTAAATCATCATGTGTAACCATGTTCTAGATTTAACACAAATAAAACTGATATAAAGAATAGTTTTTCATATTTAAAACTCATTTAATCTAATAAACTGCTTAAAACCCCATCTAAATGACCTCGAAGCACCAAACAAATGACATGATTAGCAGTGGGTGTTTCTCACCAGGTTGTTTTCAATGGACCGAATTTCAGGTCAATTGGAGTTCGTCAAAATCATGACCTCCAAATCTATGACCTAATTCAGAGAATAACCGTTTTAGGTATTTTCATGGATTAAAATAAATATGATCATGCTTTCTATTATCCTTATAATTATTCCATGATCACAAGACATACATTATGTCCTTCCTTTTGTGTAACGAGTATATAGATCGTCTCTTACATCAAATTGTCCTCCCGTTTTATACACATGAGAATCCAAGATATTACTTTTCATCCTTTTGGGTGAAATTCTTAATATCTCTTCTCATGAATAAATTTAGTGTTACTTGTATCTAATGGTAAATATCATTTAGGTATATAAGACCTCCACCACAAGCGTACACTAATCAAGGTAATTTATGCATGGTACATTGAGAATTTCTATGACTGAAATAAATAGATCACTTTAGTGAATCCTAGTTATTAATCATAACTGTCAATCCATATATTATATCATCTCACTTGTATAAATCTATTAAGAATTTTCAATGATTCCAAATAAATAAATCACCTTAGTAATAACCATTTATTTATGTCAAAATTCTCAATTTATACATGATATTATCTGACATGTTTACTAAAATTTCAATGATTTCAAATAAATAAGCTATTTCGATAGTACTTATTTATTAATCATAAATTCTTAATCCATGTATGATATCATCTCATACATATAAAACATTAAGAATTTTTAATAATTTCAATAAACAAACTATCTTTGCGGCAACAATATATTTACCACAAAATCTTAGTTATACATTGTAATATACATGCAAAAGGAGAAGAGATAATACCCACGTACTAAACTTGGCGGCCCATAAACCAAAAGTATGGCAGAAAACTAACGAAGTGTTAATTTCTATGGTTTAGTTCACTTATTTTGTTTTAAACAAAATAAAATATATTTTCCTATATGTAATGGATAGGTTAATACCGGCAGGAAATACAATTGCCATTCAGCCCAAAAACGTTTTGAACGTCATAGCCCCCACAAGCAATTGAAATTAAGTTTTCACTAAATCAAAATTCCTTTTGACACGTAATGACCTATCCACTCAAAAGAAATATGTAGTTACAGCTGCCTCCTCTCTCACATGAACCTTAAAGCAATTTGTAATAATTGTGTTTCTTAATCAAAAACAAAAACAATGCTAGGTTTTTATGCGTGAACTCCCCGCCGCCATAAAGTCATGGCTCACCATTTATATAAGAATCACTTCTCTTTAAGCACACCACTTAGCCGCCATCAGCAAAAGGAATGCAACCACGACCTAATTTATGTTATCCAATAGAGTCATCAACTTTTCAACAAGTTGAAAAGTTGATCGGATTTGCACAAACGCACAGAATATCAAACAGCAGCTTTACACTACATATAATTTTCTTATGATAAGATCATAAATCATGAATCATATATAATCACATATATATACTAGATGAACCATGCCCGTGATTTTCCGA